ACTTTCGACCTAACAAAAGGTACCTACTGCCCCTACAGAAAGCCGAACAACGAACCACTGTACATCAACACAAAGTCTAACCACCCGCCTAACATATTAAAGCAACTTCCAGCATCCATCAACCGCCGCATCTCCGACAACTCATGCAACGAACACGAATTTAACAAGGCCAAACCAATCTACGAAACTGCTCTGAAAGCCAGCGGACACTCTGCAACACTAATATACAACAAAGACAATCAACCAGCACGCCCCCGACGCAACAGACAAAGAAACATTATATGGTACAACCCTCCTTTCAGTAAAAACGTTAAGACGAACATTGGCAGAACATTCCTGAAACTCATATCTAAGCACTTCCCGAACCAGCATAAATACCACAGCCTCTTCAACAAAAATAACGTAAAAGTCAGCTACAGCTGTATGGACAACATGAAAACAGTTATCAACAAACACAACATGAAAGTAACAAACGCCGACAACAACGCCAACGCAACCACCGGAGAACAATGCAACTGCCGCAATAAAGACCAATGCCCGCTAGACAACAAATGCTTAACTACCAGTGTAATCTACAACGCGCAAGTCACAACCAGCAACACAACCAAGAACTACATCGGACTGACAGAAGGAACATTCAAACAAAGATTCTCGCAGCACAAATCTACATTTAAACACAGAAAACACATCAACAGCACCGAACTTTCTAAGTACATCTGGCAACTAAAAGACAAAAAACAAGACTTCAACATCAAATGGACAATTATCAGCCGTGCAAGACCCTACAACAACATATCCAAACAATGCGACCTCTGCATTACAGAAAAACTTATGATAATTAAACACAGTAACGACAATATACTAATTAAAAGATCAGAACTCATCTCTAAATGCCGACACGAAAACAAATTCTACCTGAAGAACACTTGACACCTCTACAGCCTATTGTATTCACACCTATGCAGTTTTAATTAATAGTATACTCTCCTTTGTAATTTTTACCTTTTACACCTATTGTTTCCAACATAACTATCACGTATTGTATGTAAATAGCCTAGCACTTAGCCTTTTGTTCTATACCATGTATATATATCTAGATTATAGGAATGTTTATCATTAAATACTGTCTGATGAGTGCGTAGCACGAAACTCGGAGTAACAGCAAAATCTTGCCTCTTTGATATTATATATATAACTAGCTCTACACTTTATGTGTATTGAGCACTCTTTAATGGGATCAGCTACTTCCTCATACAATAATATTAATGTTAAATATAACATATATAGTCCAGATTTTACAATGATTTAACCTTATATTTTGATTTTCCAGGCACTTTTGTTCCTTCCWCTCTTTCTATGCAAGTTGGGCCAAGAACCACAATCTAGTCTGAAGCTCAAATTTCTTTATGCAATTCCTGATCTTGCTATTCATAAGGTAGCTTAGCATTCCATGCATTGTTTACAGTTATCAAGGAAAAAAATTAAAAACTTTTCTGAAGTTAAAGACCTTTTTTTCTTGTTTCACAGATTTCTGTTGGTCCAATCTTGAAGACAATCCAAAGCCTCTCTGTTTCACCCTCATTAAGGTCGATTACTTTAAGATTGTTACTGAAACTTTGGTATCAACAGAAGAGGGTTTTTCCTCACCTCCAGAAAGCAATTCTTAGAGATGATCAGGATATCAAGTACAAAGACATACTGGTAGAATTACAGATTGCTAAGGCTGCTACAATAAGAGATATCTGTAAACATAGGTATAGATGAATAATGAATGCATGGATGCATAAGAAATGGAAGAATGGAAGAAAGAATGRGAAACTAATTAATGAATGAATTGGTAGATACAAGGAAAGATGGATGTATAATTGACAAAGTTGAAGAGTACAGTAAATATATGTTACTTAATAAATGAATTTGTTACTTAAAGGATGGATAAATGARTAAATGGATATATGATGGAATGGATGGATGGGAGAAAGGTTGTATGGATGGGAGAATAATTGAGAAAACTGATGAATAATTCTTATTAGTTGATAGTAAAATTATTTGGTGATTAATAGTGATTTTGCTTCTTATTTCAGCCCATCTCAACATGGTCCTGATCTCCTTGGTGTACTTTCATCACTAATTGACAAGAACATTCATTATAATCAMACTAATGCTGCATCAGTTCTGGTCATTACCCTTGCTTTGGATGGTATCAAATACCTATGTGAAGCTGAGGTAATTAGTATTCTTGGTTTAGCTAGAGATTTTCATTTCATTAAATGGTTCCTTGATRCAGCTATTCTGTGCTGTCAGCAGTAAATCTGTTAGCCACCATGGACWGTCCATTGCATTAAAATATTCATGTCTTCTTTCTTATCTTTTGATGTTTAGATTTAAAGTTACATTAGATAAATTTGAAATATTTGTAATAATAGGTAGTTGATTTGTGTACCGCATGGAAAGTGCTTKCTCCTAAGCTATCTCAAGATGAAAGGCCACYGGTTATTAAAGCATTGTGTRAACTCTTTTCACTGATACCAAATCTAGAGACTGATACTGCCGAGTATGAGGTCAGCATTTGTTTTTGTAGCTACAAATAGATTGAAAATTATCATAGCTTTTATTGGCTAATTATTATTGAGATCTACACAATTAAAAGTTTCCCATCATTAATGAAAGTAATGAATTAGGAATCATATTATTATGATTGTTGCATACCTTGTATTGCTTTAGGAGTTCAAAATGGATGCTTTGTCTTATTTATGGAAAGCAACACAACATGAGGTTTGAATTTTTAGTATTTTGATTGATGTGTGTCAGATGTTGACTGTTATTTGCASAACTGCATGTGTATTGATTTTAAGAGAATTTCATATTCAAATCATTGTATTCCCTTTTTCTACTTACGTTATTATATCATCTGAATTTTAGGTTATGTCTGTAGCTGGAGCAGCATTTAATGCTCTTTCAAACTATAAAGTTATCGATTTCAAACTTCACCATATTCCAGAAAGGGTAAGTTAGGTATTTATCTTATTAGCAGTTTCTCCCATTTCCTTCTCTCATTTTCTTCTCTCTTTTCTTCCTTTTAAAAGTTGTTCCCTATGTTACTTGCTAGGATTGCTGACTCCACTCCATCTATCTTCCTGTATCATTGATTCTGACTTCCTTCCATCTTTCTCATTCACTTCGTTATCTTACCWTTCTTTTTCTCCCTATTTCCCTTTCTTTCATTATTTTGTAACTCAGAAAGACACTGGCAATGCAAATGCATAAGACAGTACAAAGATGTAAGTTTTGGTAGAGAGCAAAAGAAGATTCCTCCTAATGCAGCATCTTTCCTCTTTCTAACCTCTCTTTAATTCCAACTCTCTAACTTTGTGSTGTCCTGATTCCAWTTTTTCAGATATCTAGTCCAATAAAAGCAAAGTTGTTGTCCAAAAAAGCTACTACTGCATTATCAGAGGAGGAATTGCATACTCTTGAACATGATATCAACATGTCGTCCCCACCAGGTTCATTATACTTGGTACTGATAACAGGAATACATGAAAACACTTTGACAGGTACTGTGACCTCTTGTGGGAGGAAATACTGCAATGAAAACTGGTTTTAATGATTTATTTTTGTTTTCCAATAATCATTATATAATATTTTATTGCAGCTTACCAGAATTTCTTAACGTCTTTAATAAGACAAGAATCCTTATCCATACCTCGTGGTATTGCCCACAATGCAACAAGAGGGAATCAGTCACATGACAGGTCTTTGAGAGGAATCYCATCATTCCTTGAGACTCAGTATGAAAAGTCTAAGACACCAGGCCTTAATACTGGACTTGCAGGTTTGTACAAAGCTGGAAGACAGACAGACAGACAATAGTCTAAGTGACAGTGTGCAAACTACTGGATGGAGAGGTACAGATTGAGATAGATAGATGTGTAGATTTACATAGATGTACAAGTCAATTCATACAGGCAGATAAGTGTGAAGACAGACAGACCAACATAGATTTAGCAGGAAGATAGTTGGTTTGAATTTGAACAAGCATAAAACAAACAAACAAAAAGCAGAGAGAGAGAGACAAGAAGGCAGGCAGTATTAAAATTTCACTTTAATATTTTTTTCCATTCTACTCTAGTTGGTCTGCTGTTTTCATACGAGCCTCCTTTTGAACAGCATGAAGGCAAAAGAGCTCGACGATACCACTTAAACTCTGCTCGTAGTTATAAACACATGTTAGAATCCTTGTTACATGAGGTAATCATACTTATTTTCACATGTAAAGGATCCCCTTAGAGTTTTCAGTAGCAGAAATTCTTTACRTCTCTGTACCATTCAAGTCTGAATCCTAAGTGTTCTAATAAAGAAAAACACCTACTCTGTTGGATATGACAGACGTCAWTAAATTACACATACTAGGTGTTGATATCTTTGACCACTTTTGTAAGTTTTGAAGCCTTGCACAATAGTTACTTTAAAATTATCTTGTCTGTTTTTTTGTTGTTTTGACCAGATTCCCATCCAACCCTCTGAATGGCACAGAAATCTACTTCTACCTCAAGCATGGACATCTTTTATGACAAGACTTTATCATGCCAGTGTACAGGTAAAAGAAATATCATTTTCTACAWATTTAATAATGAATAACTGCCATGCCTACAACTTTAAGCATCTTTCAATCATAACAATACCCTATCAGGAATCTTTTCCCATTCTTTCTGTTCCATTTCCTTTGCCTTTCCTTCTACTTGTCTCCCATTTTCCAGCTATCCCTACCCTTCTCATTAGAGTGTCAAGAATTTCTTTCACCAGTCCTTTGTATTTCAAATTGTTCAAGTTGCATTCCCTAATGGAGATGACAATTGTATCTATCTGATGTCTTTGCTATCTCAGGGTCGCAAGAGTGAAATTCTAATGCAGTGCAGTCACGGTCACATCGAAGACGAAAATGAAGCCACTGAGAAACAAAACAATGCATGGCTTTGGTAAGGAAAGCTGTTGGTTGTTAGAATCAAGATAGTTATGACATGTGCTAAATTTGAATTTATAGGGCAAGAGACACCTTAACAGAACAGCTGCAGTCTGCCTCTCGGTAGGTTCTATTCAAAATTTTAGCTTTTTGTTTTAATGATGGTCTAATTATCATATGGTTTTGAAAAAATACTTGAATAATTCCAACTTTAGATGTGAGTGTCTCCAATATTACATGCATTTATACTCATCTTGAGTAATTCTTTTATCAAGTGGCAATCCTTCTGTGCAAGGAAATTCAGTMTTAGCATTAGCTGGTCTAGCTGTAGCAGTGTCTACATATGTATCTCAKCAATCAACCACCAACCAATCAGAGTCTACAGGAGATGAACGTCAGCGTACTCGTGAATGGCTGTGTGTTGTTGCTGATACACTAATGGTTGTGCTGGATGGCAACTACAAGGCTCAAACTGCCCCTCTCACCTGGTGTCAGCAGGTAGGTACTGGATTCAAGCCATAATTCTAAAGCTATATAACAATTGTTTTCAAAGAAAGTGTACTTATGGTGTTTTAACCAGTATTTTGAGCAAAAACAATTTTCTTAAGCATTTTTGAAAAGATTTACTGATTATGTACCTAGGTATCATCTCCTACATCTACAGCAAGCTCCTTGCTAGCACGCTCCTGTGCTGCCTTGTCCCTGTCCCAATTGGTCCCTGTCCTTGTGACTCTTGACCCTGATAGGATCAAAGTGTTCAATGAAGCACTTAAAGTTAGAGTTCCAGGACAGCCAAAGTAAGAATGCTCATCATATCTTGGTTCAGTATATGAAGCAGGATAATGAACATAATGTACTTTTGAATGTTCTACAGGGCTGGTAGTTCTTCTGTTATACAACTTCACTGTAGTTTAGGTCTTGGTTTATTGTTGAGTAAACTTTATGAGGAACATTTTAGGTATGGTCTCCTGTCTTCTTACATTTCACATTTTCTCCCATTATTTCTCCTCTTTTCTCCATTCTGTTTTCCATTCATTTAATGCGTTTTCTGCTCTGATATTCTTTATTAATATTTCAGTGAACTTTCAGGCAATGAGGTAAGCCTGTGTTCTTCTCTCTTTAGGTATTTTTAATGTCTTTCAAGGTAGGCATGTTTATCTTTTACAGGGWTATATCATGATGACAACTGCTCTCGATGTTCTTGAAACTGCAGCTTTCTCCCAAGAGCTTGAAAATAGGTTAGAAATATAAATCYTTTAATTAACAGTCTCAAAAGGAAAATTACTGASTAATATTTTGCTTAGCTGTTCAACCCGGATGATTGGTTGGTTGATTGGCTAATTGGTTGATTGATTGATAATAAATTGTTGAATGATCGATTATCCAGGGAAGGTGCATCTCTTGGTATTGGTCTTGCTCTGTCATCACTATGCAAAGAAAACATAGTTGACTCAAGAGTACATCTTTTGACRATGCATCAGCATCTAAAGGACTTCCTGGGTAATTACAACAAGGAGCCTAATCAGACATTACAGGTAAGAACTGCTAATATTAGTGCCCATCAAGCAGGTCAYGTTTTTCTTATGTGCAATATTTTCCTAACCTTTTTTTGTATTTCAGACCACGTGTTTTAGTTTCTCTCTAGTGACTGCCAATGCATATCATACAGGCATTATTTCTGGTGAAGAAGCCAGCAAGTGTGTAGAAATATTAAAAGATTTGACTAGTAAACACTGTGAGGTAAGATATAACCTCCCTTCGCTGTCTTTCAGATTGTTAAGAAACATGGTAATTTGCTTAATCTTTTCTTCTCTAGTCAGTTGGTGTGTCGCTTTCCCTTGGTCTCCTTCTTCATGCCCTACTTATTGGCGGTCATGCAAATGTGAAGGTTATCTTAATGGAGAAGTTCCAAGAGTGGGAATCATTTATAGAAAACAAGGTAAAATATAGACGTTTTTTTAGTGGCGTAGCGAGGACATTGGAGGCGGAGATCGGAAATTCAGGMGCTAAATTTCTTGTCTTTGTCTATAAATGTTTAGTTAGACAAAGCCTCATTGTTGAAGGTGAAAGTGACGATTTTTATTACAATATTTTAATAAAATTCACATCAGTGATCATTCTATAATACTCGGTCCTAAATCAAATTAAATCTATTTGCAGGATATTCCTACTTTGCAACGACTTGCTGSTGTGAACGGMATCATGGGACTGCTTGGGTCAGAGCAAGGATTCTTTCAGGTTTGGTGACGGTTGATTAGAATTTGCAATTGTTTTCATAGAGGTAATTTTTCTATTTGTATTTCTCCTGTTTTCTGTCAGGTTGATAGCTCTTCTGATGATCTAGAAACAGTTTTTGAGGGAAAAGCTGCAAGCATCTTGAAGATACTGAAGAGTGTAAGATCTACAGTAAATACTCATCACAGAACCTATAGAAATCCTTAATTCTCTCTCTTGCTTTCAGTTAATTTCATCTCCACAAGATGTTGGTTTAGCGTCAAATATTGCATGGCTATTAGGTCATGTGTATTCCTCTACAACCTCAAGCCCCATTACAAGAACAAGTGGTACGAACTGTAACCCCACACCCACCCCCTTGAATACTTTTGCACGAGTGCACAAGTCATTGTTTGTCGACGACAAAATTACACGTCAAGAATGTCGAAGGTTTTTATAAAGAACACAGCACTGGGGCAGTCATGCCACAATCCCTCTTACAGTCATAAAATATCTGTTGTAATGTGCTATTCCTAATATGCGTTTGTTTGCTGTTGTTGTTGTTTTTCTTTCAATTGCTTATAATAACGAATTGTTGTGTCTAGTGCCGGCGAACTACAGTTACTTACCCGAGACAAGCAGCCTACGCGGTACCTTCGACTATCTCGTAGATGCTGGTAAAACAGGTAGAACGRAATTCACCATCACTATCATTACATCAGTTATTTGACGTTATTATTCTTGTTGAATTAAGGTCCGCATTTACAGTTCGCTGGTGACGTTGTTAATTACGTGTTAGTTGCCTTGGTAAATGGTCCTCAGGGGGTACTCCCCCCGGTGAACTGGGCTTCTGTCCTGGGTCCTATTATGAGAAGTGGATTCGGTAAGTCTATACCACACGTCTGGTAGCACTTTACCTCCCTAGAACAGCTGCTAGGATTGGTTAAAAAAATATCCCTTGTTTTATACCTATTTTTCAATCTATTTGTTCTAAAGTTCACTACGAATGTTCTGAGAAAGGAATTCCTTTCCATTTTTTACATGTAATCTGTTATCATGTTATCGACTTGTAGGCGAGGAAGCAAGTCGCTTGTGTCTTCAATTCGCCATCAAACAAGCGACATCATCGTYAAGTCTGACGTCTTTCCTGTCTTCTTGGCTTAGTACTGGTCTTTTTAGCGGCTTACAGGTATTAGTAGTAATGACTCATGCATATACTAAACTAGTGCAACTAGTGTTGTATTTATGGATAAATATCTTATTTTTTATCATTTCAAAGAATGCATGTCAAAAGGAACTCTTCCAGTCCCTGTCCAAATTGATATTCGTTGTGCCCTCGGCACGAGTTCAAGAGTTTCTCAAAGGACCTGTAGTCAATGGCTTTGACCAAGAAAAGGTAAAAACAGCTTCTTATGATAGTAAACGTGGCTCAAAATATACCTATAATTACGCATATAATTTCTAAGCCACATATCTTAGTGGCTGATGTTCTACCGCATGGTTGGTTTCCCAGTCTTATGTTGCATCGTTGTCTGTTTGAAG